GAGGCGCAGCAGGGCTGAGGGGAGACGGGAGCCGTGACCTCATCCCTCCCAGGCAGGCAGCTGGCCAGGCGCGCCCTGCTGCAGCCCTGGTCCTGTGGTCCCCTTTGCCAGGAGGCCACCCTCCTCCCCACCCTGGCAAACTCCTACTCTTTCTTCAGGACCTTGCTCAGGCAGCCCCGTAGCAGAAGGCCTCCCCTCACCCAGCCACGGCCACAAAGGACAGACAAGGCTGAACTAGAGCTGGGAGGCCGTGAGCCAGGCTGGCCTTGGTCTCCGGAAGAGAACCTGGGAATGCTAAACACTGTGTGGAGCTGCCCAGGCCAAGGAGGCTGGGGAGAACAGGGCCTGGATCAGCCCTAGGGTGAGCTTGGACTGACAGTGTTCTGGGCCACCTGGATGGGGGTTCTGGGTCCTGGCATGCTTCCTGTAGAGTGAGGTGATGAGCCCCACCTCACATCCCACCAGATCCTGGATGAGGCCTACCTGGTGCACACAGGGCACGATCCTCCTTCACCTCACTCCCCAGACACACGCTGAGCACACACAGAGTACATGCAACACACCCCAGAGACTCAGAGATCCATGGACACCCAGACACACCCAGACAGCGACACAGACACGGAGATGCCAGGTACACAGATACACATGCGTGCACGGCCAGGGCAGGAGGCCTGGAAGAACAGAAGCTGCCCCTTCTCCTGTCCGAGCCTCCAGGGCTTCCCGTTTACGAGACACTATCTATCAAAAATATATTAACCCAGAAGCCTGTTTCCATCAGAGTCTCGGTTCTGGGGACATTTCCAGATAAGCCTTATCTCATTGCTAGTGCATTAGCCCGGCTGGTCAGGGGCCTGCCAATCACGGCTGCCCCTCCTGCCCCAGCCTGTTGCAGGGTGCCTGCTTATGACCTCATTCTGTGAGGGCAGGCAGGTGGGGAACCCCCACCCCACCCCTCGGCCAAAGCAGCGCCCTGGAGGGCACCTCTTTTCCAAGGACACACCAAAGCCATTGATCGGGGGCAGGAAAGGAGGACTCTGCAATCATCCAGAACCTGGTTTCAAATCCCAGCTCTATTTGAAGCAACTGGCTGCAGCCAGTCGGGCCCTCGTCCCTGCCCCCACCCCTGTAAAACTGGAACATTGGTCCCCATGCCACCCCATGGGTGAAGCAGCAGATCCAGCGAATTTGTGTGTGTGACAGTAGCTGCAGGGAGCTCAGCCCACTGTTGCCCTCTCCTCCATAAAACATTGTGGCCTGGGACTGCCTGAGGGCTCCATTGTTGCTCTGAGGGTGCTGGAGAGCTGGGAAAGGGGGGTGTGCATGGCCTTGTCTTGGCCCCAGCTGGAACTGGGTGCCACCACCCTGGCCAGGCTGCACCTTCAAAGGCTGCACACCCTGGCCAGACCCTACTAATGGGCACTCGGGTTTCCATCGATGCCAGGCCTCATAGATGCCTCTCCTGGGGCAGAGTGTCCTCGTCGCACACGCTGGGGGCTCCGTAGGCCTCTGGGAGTCACATGCTGGGCTGCGCCGCCCTGCAGCACAGCCATGGGCTGGCTCTTCCTCCTCTCTATGCCTCAGTTTCCTCCACCTGCTTCTTTTCCAGGGCTTTGAGGAGTGACATCTTCAGGCAAGATATGGGGAGGGGAGAGTTGGGAGTGGACATGGGAACCCTCCCAGAGGTGCTGGGAAAAATGACTGGCATGGGGCTGTGTTGGGCCTGGGGCTGCCGTACCACTTCCCGAGGTTCTCATGGCCTTCGCCTCTCTGGGATGTCTGCCAGCCACTCCCAGCTCAGTGCCCGGGTGAGTGCTCATTCCCAGGACAACCCGCCTGAGCAGCTGCTTTTCTTCTCCCCACTTTATGCATGGGGACATGAGGGGGTTAGGGGACATGCCCAAGCTCACAAAGCTAGTAGAAGGGACAGAATCTGAGGACAGTGTCTCCAAAGTCCACAGCGTCCCCTCGTATCCTTTCCCCCACTGGATGTTCCCCCAGAGCTAGCTACCACTTACCGAGGTCCCTCTATACCTGCCCCAACTTGCCACTGGAGGGGTCCATGTGACCCTCACTTGGAGAGGAACAGTGACATGCCCAAAGCCACACAGTACGTGCAGGACAGGGGTACTCTGTTCCACTTGCAGGGATGGGGGCCCAGGAGGCGGGGAGTCAGCCTCTTGCCCAGTGGTTAGGAGGACGTGGTCTGTCTAGGGGGTATTGAATGACTCCCGGCTCAGCTAGCACCTGGCAAGTCTCAGGAAGGCCCTTTTGGCTCCCCTGGGAACTGACTGGGCAGGGGGATTTCTGCCCATGTGGGCCGCCTGGCTCTGTGCTGCCCTGAGGTCCTCACCTGGAGGCCTTGCCCACTCCCGTCCTGGTCTGCTCTCCCCTGGGGCAGCCCAGCAGGCCAAGAGGGTGGCTGCTAGTCTCCTGGGCAGAGTGGCCTCAGCTAAGTGGCACTGCCTTCCTGGTAAAATGGTCTGCAGGGCCGGGTGGGGCTCAACGAGAGAGGCACAGCACCCAGCACGCAATGGGGTGAGGACTCAGCAAGAGGCACCACTGTGGTCACTGGAGGTATTCACCCAGGTGGCAGCAGTGGGGTTCCTAGGAGCAGGTGGAGATGAGCTGCAGGGCCACTCACCAGGTGCCACCACTCTCCCAGCTTCACTCCCAGACCCCAGACCAGGGGACTGGACTGTCAGGAGCAAGGAGCCACATTGGGACCCACAGCTGGGAAGTGGGGGCTGGGACCAGATCCCTGATGGGCCCTGCCTCAAGCCCAGACCCTCCCTGCCCACTGGCTCTCAACTGTGGCCCTGGACTGCTGTCCCCTGCCAAGGTCAGTGAGGGGTGGCTGGGCCAGCCGCCATCACTCACATCTTGAAGCACGAGGGCCACCTCTGCTGCTGGTGTATTTCACCAGGGCCGCCTGGCTCCTGGGCCACCTCACGCAGGGACACCGCGTCCTGCAGCACCACTCCCCTTCCTCTCTGCCTTCAGATCTGAGGCTTAGCAGCCCCAAGTCATTTGATCTCACCCTGCCCTTGTTAATATTTTTAATGCCATTTTTGCAAATTAAAGCATAATGCACCGATTACTGGGATAAAAGGGAGGCCTCTGCATCCGTCTGGAGGCCAAATAAAGGAAGGTTTGAACACCTGTTCTTCCCACAAATGTCTCCAAAAGCTCGGATTTCCCTTCATCAGCTAGTTCCACCATTTTACCCTTCCTGAGTGTCCAGGGCTTGGGGCAGCGGGGTGGTGGTCTGTGGGTGCAGGGACTGCGGATGAGCACAGCCCTGCTCCCGGGCCCAGCAGGGTGTCTGCCCGCACACTGTCACCTCCACCCTTTGGGGCGCATGTGGTCCCTACTCAACGGCAGGGGCCTAGGCACTCCTGGTGTTGGGATGAAGGAGCAACCCCTCCAGCCTGTAGACTCCCACTGCCCACTGGGCTCTGAGTTTGGCTCCTTCTCCAACCCCTACCCTTGGCAGTGATTCCGCTGATATTCCTCTTGGAACAAACCTGGTGAGGGGAGGGGCTCCCCCAGTGAAACCACAGAGAGACCAGCAGAGTAGGCTGGGGCCACGGGACATTTATTTGCGGCTGCTGAGTGCCTACCCACCTGGGCCAGGGGCTGAGAGTGGCCTGCAGATGGCCACCAGCTCTGGCTGAGGCGCTTTCCTAGCTGGGCCCGGCTGCTGTCCCAGGTGGGAAGGTGCAGGTGAGGAGCTAGAGACCCTTCAGGCCCCATCATCTGTCCCCTATCCTCGGGCTTCTCTTGGAGCTGAGCACCAAGCCCGGGGTTGGGGTGGGGGTGGGGAGTCTTCTACCTGCAAGATCACGGAAAAGACTGGGAGAGGTCGAAGCATGTCTGGTTGGGTATTTAGCACTGCAGCTGGGCTTGGGCCTGGTCACCAGGGCCTCAGGGAGACTGGACCATGCGCTTGTGGGTATCAAAGACATAACGCTTGAAAGACAGGCTGAGTGCGACGGGTGGGGAGGACTCTGCACCCTCCTCCTGCTTGGCTGCCTCCCCCCGGCCGGCCCGGCCCCGCTTCCTGAGGGCAGGTGTCAAGATCTTCTTGGACTCAGGGCTGAGGCCACCTGCAAGGCAGAGAAAAGATACTGTCACTCTGCCACACTCCAAGTGCCATGGGCTCCCTGTCTGCCAACTTGCCACCCTGGAAGAGCACACACATTAGTTCAGCTCCAAATCCCCTGACCCCCACCCCCTCCTCACCCAAGCCAGGATGCCAGTGCCACCCTAAACTCACCCCTCTCCTGCCTCCCCCCCCCTCAGCCAACCAGCCCCCAAGTCCTGGGGACCATTCTGGTCCCTCTCGGGCTGTGCTAGTCCACACTACTGGCGTATCCAGCCTGGAGCAGCCACCTCCTGCGCTCAGGCCGCCGGAGGGACTTGGCCCTGCTCTAAATGGTTCCATTGCTTCCCTGCGTTCTCATGCTGACTCCCACATCCCGACACATGGCATTTGAGGCTCCCTGGACTAGCTGTTCTTTAACGGCCCCTGGAGATCCAGTTTTCGCCCTTCTGTGTGCCTGGGTGGATGACCTCTGCAGATGGCAGTGCCAGCTCTAGTGTCCTCTGGCTTCTGTTTGGGTTCGGCCAATGGGAGCCCCAGCAGATCAGAGGGTGGGAGGAGAGAGCAGTCAGGGTGTTTATCCCCGGCTCCCTTTGGCTAGAACTCCTGTTGGGGGGGGTCCCTCTTCTTTGGCTCTGGCAGATGCGCCCCCTCCCAGGCTGGGGTGGGAGTGTCCCCACTGCTTTCCCACCACCACTTATGGGCTCCTTTAACCAGCCCACGCCTGGGTACAGACCCTCTAGTGGAAACTTATTTCCTGCTGACACCCTGACTCTCGCCTACCCCAGCTCGTCCATCCTCACCACCACTGCCTCTGTGCTCTCCCTGCAGCCTTGCGGAATCAGACTGTTGCTGGGCTCCTCACCACACTTACCAGCTTCTCATATGCTGTACCCTCTGCCTGGAACACCCTTCCCTCCTTGTCAGTGGAAGTCCCACTCACCCCTAAACACGAGGTTGCAACAGCTCTTTCTCTGGGGCTTGTCTTTTTTACTTAATTGACAAATGATGAATTGTCTATATTTATGGTGTACAACATGATGTCTTAATGTATGCATACATTGTGAAATGATTAAATCCACTCAGCAATTTTCAAGTATATCACAGTCATGTACTGCACGATGATGCCGCTTTGGTCAACAACCGACCACATCGACAACAGTGATGAGATTATGATGCTACACCATGTAGCCTAGGTGTGTAGTGGGCTACACCCTCTAGGTTTATGTAAGTGCACTCTGTGATGGTCACACTATGACAAAATTGCCTGACTCATTTCTCAGAATGTGCCCCCGTCATTAAGTGGTGCATGACTGTATATTATTATTAATTAGTGTCACCATGCCGCACAACAGATCTCCCGAACTCATTCCTCCTGTGTAACTGAAACTTGGTACCCTCTAACCGACACACCCCCGTTTTCCGCCTCAGCCCCACCCCCACTCGTAGCCACCATTCTGCTCTGTTTCTATGAGTTCGATTCTTTCAGATTCCACATATAAGTGAGATCATGCAGTATTTGTCTTTCGTTGCTCAGGGTTTATCTTCATGAGGAACCTGCCTGGTGGCAGCCTGGTGCGGCCTCTGTGTGGACCACTGACCAGGGCGAGACCACTTGGCTGGGCCGGGGCTTGAGGCTGTGAGAGTAGGTGGCCCTAGGTCCCAGACCAGTTCTATCCCTGACAGAGCACACTGGGACAAGCCACTCACCCTCTGCGAGCCCCAGGCCGCTGCTGAGGAGTCTGGGTGGGAGCAAGCCGGCAGAGCATGGCAAAGGTGGGCTGAGGGGGCACTTTTAGAATGGCACAGGGCAGGGAGCCCAGGGGTGGTAGCTCCTACACATCCAAGAGAGAGACAAGGCGGGGGGACGGCCAGCCCATGCCCTGCTTGTCAAGCGGGGGTCCTGCAGAGGGCACTGCTCGTCCCGTGCACAAAGGGGCCGCACAGCCACTGACCCCAGCAACAGTTCACAGCAGGCCCAGAGCTGATGGAAACTGGATGGAGGCGCAGCAGAGGCCCTTGCTGCCCTCCCCAGGGCGCGTCCACCACAGCACCTGCTGGCACCTGTAGGACTGGCTCCCTTCCCAAGTCTTCTCAGGGGCGAGCTTTCTCCCTGAGACCAGCCAGCCATGAAGTGAAGGCGCCAGCTTCACGCCGGTTGGAAGGCCTTTGCCTGTTGTCTCAACCAGACAGGCAGTGCTGGGTGGCAGGACTGCATGGGGTATTTCTGGCTTAGTTTATAGAAGATGTCGGCCACCCTTCATTTTACAGATGAAAAAATGGAGACCCCAAGAGGAAGTGACTTGCCCGGGGTCCCACAGGGAGTCGGGAAGAGCCAGGCTTTGACCTCGAGGCCCTTGCCCTGTGGCAGTGCCGGCAACTGCCCCGTCCAGCTCCTTGGGCGAGCTCCACCTTGAAGTGGACTCCTGACAGTGGTTCTGAGCACAGGCTGAGAGCACCTCACAGCGGCCTTGCACCTCTGCACATTAGAAAGGTGACAAGGAGGCTGGAGGAAGGGGACACCTGCAGAGTCAGCCAGGGACAGCCTACCCCACTGCACAAAGGGCCTGTTCTCCACCTGGCAGGAGGAAGTGAGACCGCTGGCCATCTAAAGCCTGGATCCCCTGGGAAGACCAGAGACATGCAGCTGATGTTAATGTGCACCTGCCAGAGAGACTATGTGACATGGTGGGCACGAGGGACTTGTACCCAGGGGAAGGGGCCCTCCTGTGGCCAGCACACCTTACATGGAGGCCGAGTGGTGTCTGATCCATGGGATCCACACTGTTTGTCTGCCCTCCTCTTGGGATGGGGTGAGGGGAGGGCCCTGGCCAGCCCCCTCAAACAAGCGCCAGGTCCACAGGTATCTGAATCTCTGAATCAGAGTCCCAGTCTTCCTTCTGCAAACAGAGAAGGTGGCTGGCACCAGACCCTGACAAATGGCATGGGTGGCCCGTCTCCCTCTGGTGCCAGGAGGTCTGATGGCTGAAGAGAAGTGGGGCTTCCTGGCGTCTGTGCCGGGCTAGGGAGACGGGTGTGGCCCAATCGGCAGTCCATCTCACCCGCGATGGCTCTCGTTACACACAATGCATACCTCATGATGCCCAGGGCAGGCAGAGCCGGAAAATCTATCTGGTACTGGTGAAGATGTGGCCATTTAATTGCTCTTCTGAGACAGTCAGGCTCGTTTACCTCTGCTCCATTACGGGGTGTTCTGGAAACAATGCCAGAAAGCCTGACCGATGGGAGACACATCCCTTGGGCTGCCGGGCTGTTTGTATTTGTTGCAAATGTCACCAGCAGCTACTTCGTTTCCTCGATGGCCTTTTTTTTTTTTTCTTAGCCAAGAGTCAAACAGAGGGAAGTGAAGAGAACTCAGGGTGTCAGTGGTTGGAGCTGCAGCCCACCCAGCCAGGCTCTGTGGGACACAGGTCATGCCATGAACTTCTCCTGCTCTGTTCCTGGGTGTTTCACTTGAAAACATTCAGGGAACACTCCAGGACCAGAAGACAAATGGTGTGAACACACAGACAGGCCTGGCTCCCAGGAGTTACTGGTCTAGCAGGGGCAGACAGTCAACAAGTCATCAAGACAGCCCACACAGCATAAGGGACTCAAGGAATGGCACTGCTGCATCGCCGGGTGGGGGAGGAAGCTGCTCCCAACAGCAGGCTTCTCAGAGGAAGAATGCTGGGCCCAGGGCCAGATGACAGGGACCAGCCATGGAGATCGCTGGCAACGATCTGCAGGCAAAAGGAACTTGAGCGCCACGTCCCGGGTGGGTGAGAAGGAGCACGATGCTTGAGGGGACGTGTGTGGCAGCAGGCAGGTGGGTGCACGAGCTGGGCTTTGGGTGACTGCAGCTCACCACGCCCTGTGTGTCAGGCTCTGTGGGAGCTGGCCACTAACTTGGGGTCAGAGTGGGCAGGAGAGGTGGCTGCTGAGCTAAATGCCCACTGTCCATCTGCCCTGTGTCCACTCCTGTAGGCCCTGGGACTCAAGGCAGATAGGACGGTGCCTGCATAACCTCACAACACAGTGTTGAAGAAATGGGGGCACAGAAGAGCAAGGAGCTTGCCCAAAGCCACACGGCCATCCATTGGCAGAGTGGGAGTTACTGGTTCCAAAGTATCTGATTCCAAAGTCTGTTGCTTAACCACCAAGTGAGCTGCATGTCTGTCATAGTTACAAAGGGTCTCTGAGGCCAGGGAAGACAGTCAAGACTGATCTAGCACCCATTTGCTGTAGGAAATGGGATTAAAAATGATACTGGAGAAGAGTTTAAAGTTGCACAAAGCAAGACTTATGCTATAAGGCTGATTCAAAAAATGCAGCGCTTGGGCCGGCCTGGTGGCGCACTGGAGAGTGTGCCGCTTGGGAGCGCGGCGGCACTCCCGCCG